TATTGCGAAGTTGCTGCATTGAGTAAAAGAGGCTCATGTGACCCTGTCGGGTGTATACAAAACACGTTGAATTCAAAACATTTTGAAAACCGCTTTCCATTTGAAATGCCCCCTTTTTGACGTTGAAACAGTTGTTTCTCATCTGAAATGGGCTGTTTTGACCATTTGTAAATCCCTCCACACACACACCTCTAAACAGATCTGCCTCAAGCTCCGAACACTCCCTGAATGATGGAAAACCACCCATTTTGAATGTGAAATAGCTGCTTTGCATTCAAAGAGGGATATTTTGAATTCAAAATGGGGGGGGGGAGAGACTTTGTACACCACTATTATGTTCTAATCAGCAGAGCAAAGAGCAGTTTTGGAAGAGGGCATTTTAATTGGATAAAAGAGTGAGTGGTGTGTGTGGCTGTTTAAGTGGGAGGAAGCCATACTGGAGATCTAAAAACAGAAATCTCCATTCTGCCTTGTCCTTAGAGCTAAACTCGATATAATCTAAGTGTTACACTTCCCAAACTAGATTTAGTTTTTCAACTGTATGTTGAACCAGAAGTAATATAATGCAAAAGTTACCAGTGCATAATCTCTGCTGAGAACACTGGTCTACTTATAAACTTTAAAACAGTGGTGAAATCTAAAATTTGTTATTACCGGTTCTGTGGGCATGGCTTGGTGGTGGTGGGTAATGTGACTGGGTGGGCGTGGTCAATTTTTTTTTCTTTTAAAACCATTTTTTCTACAACATCTTCGGCGAAGAGATTGTAAAAAAATGCTTTCAAAAGACTCTGACGATCCCAGCTGAGTTGCCTGATCGGCAGAGACTTTTTTTCTTTTAAATGCCTCTGACAATCAGGCAACTCAGCTTGGATCATCAGAGGCATTTAAAAAAGAAAGGGGTTTTTTTCTTTTAAAAGCCTTTGATGATCCCAGATGAGCCGCATGATCATCAGAGGCTTTTTTTTTTTTTTTTTACTTTTAAAACTTTTTTTTTGGGAAGTTGTAGAAAAAATGATTTTAAAAGTAAAAAAAAAAAAGCCTCTGATGATTGTGCGGCTCAGCTGGGCATGGGGGGGCGGGGTGCAGGGATTTTTGCTACTGGTTCTCCAAACCACCCGCCTCCATCGCTACTGGATGGGGCGATCCGGTCCGAACCGGGAGCATTTCACCCCTGCTTTAAAGCAAGGTCTCTCAAAATGGTCATTATTGGTGCCAGGGGTCAAAAGGACTATCTAAGGGGCTACTGTTGTTATTCTTAGTAGTGATAGTCCTATTAAAGTATTAAATCATTTTCATACAGTAAGGATCTGGAGGTCAAAGAACGATCTGAAACTTTATGAAGGGGTCAATGAGCTGAAGAGTTTGGGGAGTCCTGATCTAAAGGATGTATCAATTCACCTTAAATCAGAGCCAACCTTTATAAAGCATGTCTTAAATTACTGTAGAACATCATTAAGGAACTGCAAGGAATATAAATCCTTCCATCCTCCACCATTCGGTCAGAGCTGGAGAAGCTTCTTGGATGAGAAGCAAAACATCTTCAAGGAGAAAGCAAAGTCCAATTGCCTTTTGAAAAAGCACTTTTGGGGCAACCATGACCTCGGTGACTGAGATTCTACATAGACCAGGGATGGGCAACTGTGGCCCTTTTACAACCTGTGGACTTCAACTCCCAGAATTCCTGAGCCATCTTGGCTGTCTCAGGAATTCTGGGAGTTGAAGTCCACAGGTTGTAAAAGGGTCACAGTTGCCCACTCCTGACATAGACAGATCTTTAAGAAACCACTCCGGCTTAGAACTTGAACACTCTGATGACTAAGCCATGAACCCTCATCATCCAAGTTAGATCTCTGGACAACCTTAGCTAAAACACTGGACTGCAATAGAGTTACTTTTCCCAATGTTTATGTAAACCACGGTTGAGATAATTCCCATGAAATGCTTTGAATAATCGGAACATTACAGAAGTGCTAGCTACTAGGATATCTGAAAAGGGAACTAGGGACAAGTACTTGCCACATGCCATTTATTTTGGGTGCCCACTTTGAGATAAGCTTGCATTTTCCTCACACTTTCCTCCCCCGCACCTTTGCCACTGAACAAAAGCACTTCCATGTGAAGAGAGCACCTTCAAATTCACAAGCTCTGGAATTTTTTTCCCCTGTTATGAAAGCCTCGGACTTGCGGGTCACTTGACTATGTACTGAAGATAAACCTTTCACAAAGGGCGCCCTGTTTGAAGCTGCACCTGGTATTGCAATCTCTGAATGCGATAACACTTGCTAGAAAAATTGTTATTGGAGAGCTGTGAGGTTGGACTTAAGAGGATTCCATTTATAACAGCTATTACTTTGCAAGGGAGGCCATAAAGTTCCCACTCTCTACAGAATGTAAAAGAATATTGGTTTCTTAATTGCAACTTTATTCATACGGTAGGTGAATTGTATTTAATTAAGTTTATACCCTCATAAAGGCCATAGGCAAAATATATTTTGGTTACTTTTTTGGTCATGGTTTGAACTGCAGGGAATTCTACTATTACTGCAAAATGGTTGATTTTGTTTTGTTTGTATGAAAACAGATTTAGGCAGCTAGAAAAGGTACATGACTGCTCAAAAGAATTAAGTGGGGTTTTACTTTAAAAAAAAACCATGATGTTTGATCTAGGAATTCTAACTTGTTTTCCCCAAACAAATCAGAGCTGAATGCCATGTTTTATACTGTCCTTTTATTTCCTTTTTTTTCTTTTAAGAAAGAAAATGCAGGGATCTCAGTTCATAAGTTATTACATACTTCACATTACATAGAGATAGTCCTCGACTTACAACGGCAATTGGGATCAGAATTTCCATTGCTAAGCAAGGCAGTTGTTACCTGAGCCTGCACCAGATTTTATCGTTATGGTTTGTGCCACGATTATGAAGTGAATCTCTGCAATTCAGTAAATCCCACAGTCGTTAAGCAAATCCAATTTCCTCCACTGACTTTTCTTGTTGGAAGTTGGCTGGGTTACAAGTGGTGATCATGTGATCCCAGGAGGCTGCAACCATTCAAATTCTGTACATGCCAATTGGGTGGTGCCCAAATTTTGATCATGTGACCTATAGGGAGGCTGCAAAGGTGGTGCAAGGATTGGTCATCGGTCACTTTTTCAGTGCCATTGTAATTTGGAACGACCACAAAACAACTAGTTGTAAATTGAGGACTACACATACATACATAAAGCAAAGTCTTAAAGAATACTCTGCTTTGATAGAAATGCCCTTCAAGGCAGCCTGATGTGACGACTCATGAAAATGGCTCTTTTTGATACATTTTGCTGATTTTCCATTACGCGCATAGAACTCAGTATTTCTTCAAAGGAAAGGATCATTGATTAGAAGCACTGAGATGGTTCCTCACTTTTTTTTTTTTTTGAATCAAGCGATTTTGATGAAATGTATAAACTTCTTCATTGATTTGGCTTCTGAAGAGGATTTCCTGCTGAATGGAGCAGTGAAATTCCTTTCCATTGTAAGCCAGAAATGCTGTGGCCTGCAAACATGATTCTTGTGTTAAGTAACAGTACTGCAGTCTTGTAAGTCTAGATGTACAAGGAAGCTTATTAGCAGTTGGTTGGTTATAAGCTTTCTTTGGCATTTCAAGATCTGTATTTCTCCTGTGGAAAGTTATCCAACATCCACTAAAGAGGCCATTATGGAAACCACAGTGTGGTTCTATTTCAGCTTCTTGTGAAGCTGCTGCCAAATTACTGCTCTTCCGAATTTAACCAGGGAGCTTAATTAAATTGGTGCTGAAATGACAACCAAAATTCACCTAATGTATTTTTTAAATATATTTTCTTAATATCGCAAGGAAGACATTTGAAACTAGTAGGAGGGGGATGTTGCAGAAACCTTTTTACCTTGAACTTTTTGTTGTTGTTCAAAGTTTTAAAAAATTACAGGCAGAAAATAAACGGTCCGAAGGGAAGGATTACGCACCGTTTCTTCTCCAACCAATTATTTATATAGTAGACTGGTTACGTTTTTCTTAAAGGAAGAAGTTGAGTAAAAACTTGAAATTTCCAGTGCATTGAATAATTTTAATAGCATTGCAGAGCAAAACAAAACAGACTTGAACAGTAAAAGATGTGAAGAGGACATAGAAGTGCATGGAGTATCTGCTAGCATCTGTTTGAACCAAGCACCCATTTATTGATTGAATACATCTTCAACTTGCAACAGTTCATTGAGTGTCCGTTCAATGTTGCAACGGCACTGAAAAAAGTGACTTATGACCATTTTTTACACTTACGACCATTGCAACATTCCCCATGGTCACATGTTCAATATTCAGATGCTTGGCAATCTGAAGCATCTGATCGTATTTATGATGGTTGCAATGTCCCGGGGTCACATCATCACCTTTTGCGACCTTCTGGCAAGCAAAGTCAATGGGGAAACCAGACTTACTTAACAACTGTGTTACTAACTTAACAACTACAGTGATTCACTTAACATGTGTGACAAGAAAGGTTGTAAAATGGGACAAAATTCCCATAACAAATGTTTCATTCAGCAATGAAATTTTGGGCTCAATTGTGGTTGTAAGTGGAGGACTATCTGTATTCCCAAATCTAACAATTTCACTGTTGCTGTGGGAAGAGTCTCATGTGAGCCATAGAAAGGATGTGTTGGGTTAAAGGAGAGCCCACTGGTGCTGCACGACTTTCAGAAATGTTCTTTGTTGACTTTTCCTGAATATGAGTCATACACAGGCCTATAAGTTTATTTATTTGGGACATTGATGATGACATCATTCTTATAATAACAATTATATAAACTATTTTCTTCTTTGTAGATGGTTGAGTGTTTAAAAGATGTGTTTAGGATAGAATGCACAGACACACACATAAATGAATGCCAAATGTTTATTATTCCAGTTTAATATATATTATTTAAGAATGAGTTTTAAGGACTGATTGGGAACTTTCCCTTTTCCTCCTTTCCATTCCCCAGGTGATCTTTGCTTTGAATCAGACTCTCTTGCAGCAGGAGAAGCTCCGAGCAGGCAGTCTACAGATTCCTCACAGTACAGAGGATCTTATCAAGCATTACAACTGTGGAGACCTCAACAATGTCATCTTCAATCATGATACTTCCCAAGTGAGTTGTGTCTCCCCATTCCCTTGTGCTGCTCACATTACTGCTAGTTAGCTTCTCTTGTGAGCTGTCCATATCCCCAAGAGACTGGACATTTTAAAGACAAGTTTATTTTCACTATTCAAAGTCAGTATCTATGCTTCTTTGTTAACACTGCAATTGGCAATTGTGCTTCCAGAAACATTTGTTGGTGGCATCTGATGGGCTGTTGCTGATTTACTGGATAAGAAGAGAGTTTATAATATGTTTATTGAATTAAATGTTTTATTGTAATAGAGAGGGAACACATACTTCTATTCAACTTAATTTTTAAAAGATACCACTTTTTTTTAAACAATTCTGTAAATTATGAGCCGTGGTGGCACAGTGATTAGCGTGCAGTACTGCAGGCTACTTCTGCTGATCACTGGCTGCCAGCAGATCGAATCTCACCAGGCTCAAGGTTGACTCATCCTTCCATCCTTCCGAGGTCAGTAAAATGAGGACCCAGATTGTTAGGGGCAATATGCTGACACTGTAAACTGCTTAGAGAGGGCTGTAAAGCACTATGAAGCAGTATATAAATCTAAGTGCTATTGCTATAACCCCTTGCATTGGGATGAAGTCTGGGCAACTGAATGGAACTGAGCATTTACTGGCCAGATGCCCTTCCTGATGCCTAGGTGGAGTTCACAGCAGATATTTTCTCTTTACGCCCAGAGAGAAATATTTGCCACTACCTAGAATTAAACTCACAGCCTCTTGATTGTGAGGGAAGAGCTCCACTTCTAAGCCACCACACTGCTCTTTAAAAATATATAGTAAACTAGGGAAAAATGGATTTGTCTCACTACAGTACTTTGCCAAATTAGAGTTGGTTTCTTTTGCCATGTCTATACAATGGCTTCCCGAGTTGTGTAGCTTTTACATGAGCATAGTGAGATGTCCTGCATTTCCCATTTTTCTAAGCACATTAACTTGACATGGATGACATAATCAAAGGCCTTCTATAAACAAGGAAGCACATGTTAACTTCCTTTTGGTGTTTATAACCAGTGATATGTAGGTATTACAGCTAGTTCTCACTGAATGACTGGCCTGTTTAGCGATTGTTCAAAGTTACGATGGTGCGGCAAAAGTCACCTTATGACTAGTCTTTGTAGTGACGACTGTTACAGCATCCTTGCAGTCGTACCAAGATTCAGGCACTTTTGCAATTGGCAGGCATTAATGACTGTTGCAGCATTCTGTGGTCACATGATCACCATTTGCACATTTTACAGCTGGCTTTCAACAAACATAGTCAGTGGAGAAGCCAGCAGTGAAGTTACAAGTTGTGATCATGTGACGTCTCCTTTAGTGATGGAATTGTATTTGCAAAAATGTACTCTATTGCTATCCCATACTTTTCATTATCCCAGATAAGAATGAGGACAGGAGGTCAATATGAGACTTTAAAAGAGTGAACAATATACCACTGATTTAGGATGGAAATGCCATCTTCCCATCCTGCTTACAATCTTTTTGGACTGTTACCTTCTGGCAGAAGATACAGAACAATTAAAACTCAGACCACACATTTTCTGAATAGTTTTTATCCCAGAGCTATAATTGCACTCAACAATGAACTAAAGGGCCACCATCAGTGAGCTGTTGGACAGCATTACTTGGTCTGTTGTGTGGATGTTTGGGTGGTTTAGAGGTGGGGAATTTGTGGTGGGGTGTTGGGGATTGTTATGTGTGTTGGACCTGATCTTTGGGTGTTAAGTGAATTTCGTTGTATGGGTATACTGTGTATACACGTACAATGACAATAAATATATTATTATTATTATAGAAGAAATGTACTGCTGCCCCGGATTTTGGGAGACTACCCTTCATATACCCATCCACTATCTTACCAAAAAAAAAGAAAGAAAGAAAGAAAGAAAGAAAGAAAGAAAACACTCACTATATATCAAATACTAAGGGAGCCATGTTAATGAGCAATTCTATTTAGTTTTCTCTGGAACTCAGAGTATTCACCAAGCTGTCAAAACTGTTAGTGGTAGCCTGGAACAGTTAATCCCAAACACCAGCCTCTCAGAGCTTTGATTAATAAGCTTTATTAAGAAGAAGCTTACAGTAGCAAGAATTCCGGCAAGTAGTCTGTTTTCCAATGAGAGACCTCTGTATAGCAAAATAAGATGAGAAATCTCTAGTTGTTCTTATTTGTTTTTCAGGAGGTGGGAGAGGTAATTTGCATCTGCTATTATAAGTATTATAATTATACTCTTTTAGAACCAATTTTCATACAATGTTGCTGTGATTTTAGTGGCACATCTCTTAAATGTGGAGCCCCATAACTATGTGTGATCTGGAGACAGAGGAACACAAGGTGAACATCCTGCCCTTGAAGCAATTTATTTTTCAGGGAATATGGAAAAGAGCCACTTCTTATACTTGCAACATCTGGTATAAGAAAAGGTTTTTCTCCTCCAATACAGGAAATCGGCTATCCAAGAGGCAGTCAGCTAATCACTGACAAGTCACGTGCTTGAAATGTGTGGGCATCATGATCTTAAGATTTGAGAGTCTTATACATATGTCTCCCTGAGTAATCTCATTTACTGCCTGCCCTTGAAGGTACGCAATGCTGGTGGCTCTCTCTAACAATAAGGGGAAATCATGCAGGTTTTCCATCACTGGCATATTTCAATAGTCTCCTGTTAACACATGGTTATGCATGTGCATATGTTACGTTCTTAAAAAAACAAACCACCAGGTTGCTAGTCTCAACTGAAACTCACCTGACTTATTTCTCATCAAAGCTCGCAAAGCATTGAGTTAGATAGTATTTCTGGCTGAATGGGAGAGCTGGACCCAAGAGAGTAAAGTCTAAACTTCAGAATATGTGGCTGTGGTGTCTTTCCCTTTGGCAATGGATCTTCGTGACATTTCTCGATAACTTCAGGGTGAGATGGTTCTAGTCAAAAAACACAAAGGACATAAATTATGCCAATTGCCAGGTGATTGGCAGTCTTCTTTTCTCTGATCTTAAGAGTTAAATGTATTGTCCCACTTGAAGAGAGCAGAGCTGATCCTGACAGCTCAAAATTGATGCAGAAAAACCTGTAGACCACCTTCATGTCTACCCACAAGGATCCTCCTATACTCCTCAAACCCAAAATATCAAGGAATATTTAATCATCAATCCCATAGGGATTACAACTACAAAATATGCATGGAGTATCTATGGAGATCCTCACTCATCCAGGTCATGGTTGCCCCAAAAGTGCTTTTCCAAAAGGCAACTGGACTTTCTTGGATTTTTTTTTCCTTGAAGACGTTTCACTTCTCATCCAAGAAGCTTCTTCAGTTTTGCTGAATGGTGGGGAACAGAAGGATTTATATTAGGTGATTGCTAAGGAATATAAATCCTTCCATTCCCCACCATTCAGCCAGTACTGAAGAAGTTTCTTGGATGAGAATCGAAACGTCTTCAAGGAAAAAAACCAAGAAAGTCCAGTTGCCTTTGGAAAAGCACCTTTGGGGCAGATATGCATGGGGCTTCATTAGTGGGGCTTCACTGCTGTTTAGACCAGGGGTCTCCAACCTTGGCAACTTTTAAGACATGTGGACTTCAACTCCCAGAATTCCTCAGCCACCATAATCCCGGACAGTATTACCACAATGCAAATATATGAACAGACATGGGGAGCTTTCTGCAGATAGAGCAGGACTAAACTTTGTCTCCTCTCCTGTCCCACACATTTTGTCCCTCCAATTGAATCTTAGTGAACGAGAATCCTATTTTCTTTCAACAAAATCCTTTGTTGAACAAACAAAACGCTGGAATGAAAAAATGCTTAATGGCAGCTGTTCCTTCATGCATCCCTCTTTGATTTATGAGTCTCAAGGTCTTTTATATATATATGTATGTATGTATGTATGTATGTATGTATGTATGTATGTATGTATGTATATGTATATGTATATGTATATGTATATGTATATGTATATATATAATAATAATTGTGTTAAAAAAAAGATAAAAACTAATACAAATTACAAAAAAACAAACAATAAAAAGAGAAATATTGCAGAAGAAAGAAATATAAAAAATAAGAATATAACAAAGAAAAAGAAGTCCCTTGAGGTTTTTGCAAGGAGTCACAGTCTATTGCACAAGGAGAGCAGCACATTTTATCACTTCAGCCAGTAAGACTCCCCTTGGGGATATTTTGGGGTGGGAACTTGATCGTCTATTTCTTCTTTTGCCAAGCAGTAAAAGTAAAAGGGACGTGATGGCTCAGTGGCTAAGATGCTGAGCTTGTCAATCCAAAGGTCAGCAGTTCAGTGGTTCAAATCCCTAGTGCCACATAATGGGGTGAGCTCCTGTTACTTGTCCCAGCTTCTGCCAACCTAGCAGTTCGAAAGCACATAAAAAATGCAAGTAGAACAATAGGGACCACCTTTGGTGGGAAGGTAACAGCATTCCGTGTGCCTTTGGCCACATGACCATGGCGATGACTTCGGACCGCACTGGCTCTTCGGCTTTGAAACAGAGATGAGCACCGCCCCCTAGAGTCGGGAACGACTAGCATATATATGCGAGGGGAACCTTTACCTTTAAAAGCCTTACAAATTGAATATTTTCACTGCTGCTGAGTTTTGCTTTGGCAGGTCAGTTTTTCAGTGGGCAATCTATTACTACTAATCTTGGGTTTTTATTATGGCTCCTAGCTATGTGTGGTAGGATGTTGTCTTCGACTGAAAAAAGGGGAATATTCTTTTTAAAGTAAAGAATAGTAAAGTAAAGTTAAAAAAAGGTAAAGATTCTTTTTTTACAATGCTGAGTAGTCTTCCCTCCCTATTTCCTTCCCTTAAGTGTTCTCTTTGGTGGAAGTATTGTTTTTTTCTTTCTATCTATCTGTATCTGTTTTTATTACTGAGGTCATACTTATTCTTAGTGGTGTACAAAATATTGTGATCTCAAAGTGATCTATTTTGATCTCACCAGAAATGCTCCAGGACTGTTCCAACCAGTCCCAAGGTGTTTCAGCTTGAAATAAAGGTGCCTTTTGATACTGGAGTGTTTCCAGAACAGTCATTGGGACTTCTGTAAGGTCAGAACAATCTGTTATAAACCTGAAGCAGCGATTTTGAGTTAAAAAAAGGGAAGTTTCAAAAGCAAAACAATTTAAATGAATCACTTATGTTATCCTGTCATTTGCAATGGGATGAAGAAATTTGACCTTGCTGCTTGAGCAAATCAGAGGAGTAACCCGCTGTAGGAACCTTCACAATAAGTCTAGTGTTCTATTTACAGGTGAAAACTATTTATTAGAAGATCAATATCCAGCGTGATTTATCTAGGGCTGTCTTTGAAAATGGGATAGCTAAACTGATATGAAAGATTTCTACAGGAGGTTAATGTGAGCAGCATTATCTGTTCTGAACTTTGTACTTGTGCCCTTCCAAACTGGTTCTGAATACCTTTGTGAGCATTTGAATGAGCATTGCACAAATATCATAGCCTCCATTCTTCTCCTGGTTATAGTCTTTTATATGAACCTTCTGTCGCTTTCTTTGATATCATAAAAATGTGATTTCCCAAGCTTCTGAGAATATGCTTTGTAACTGTAGCTTATTCGAAATCTACTGTGTTTCCCCAAAAATAAGATCCTGTCTTATATTTTTTTGAACCCCGAAATAAGCGCTTCTTTTTATTTATTTTCAGGGAGGTCTTCTTATTTTGGGGCACGTGGAGCAAGACAGGGCTCCTCTTGCTGTCTTACCTGATTTCCAGCTCTGTCTCCCTAATCCTAACCAGAGGAAATGGCGGGGACCAGCTGCTCATGCAGTTAAATATTTTCAGGGAGAGCTTATTTTCAGGGAGGGCTTATTTTTGGAGGGGGCTTATTTTAGTGCATGTGCTCAAAAGCCCAATTGGGCTTATTATCAGAGGATGTCTTATTTTCAGGGAAACACAGTATTATACCAGTGGTGAAATGTAAAATTTATTACTACCTGTTCTGTGGGCGTGGCTTGGTGGTGGTGGGTTAATGACAGTGGGCGTGGCCAACTTTTTCTTTTTTTTTTACTTTTTTTTACTTTTAAAACCATTTTTTCTACAACCTCTTCGGCTGAAAAAATGCTTTTAAAGCCTCTGACAATCCCAGCTGACTTGCCTGATCGGCAGAGGCTTTTTTTCCCTTTAAAAACATTTTTCTATAACCTCTTCGCCTGAAGAGGTTGTAGAAAAAATGCTTTTAAAAGCCTCTGATGATCCCAGCTGAGCCGCGCGATCATTAGAGGCTTTTTTTTACTTTTAAAACCATTTTTTCTGCCAAAGAGGTTGTAGAAAAAATGCTTTTAAAAATAAATAAAGCCTCTGATGCTTGCGCAGCTCAGCTGGGTAATGGGGGGGGGCAGGGATTTTTGCTACCAGTTCTCCGAACCACCCGCCTCCATCGCTACGGGTGATCCAATCCGAACCAGGAGGATTTCACCCCTGTATTATACCCTTAAAATCAAATTTAAGTTAAATGGTTTTGAAAATCAAAGTACAAGTTAAGAAATTAGTGATGCTGCCAGATGCTGTTTCACAATTTAATTTATTTTTATCCACTTGGAGGATGGAGTATTAAGTATGTTCATTACCTTGAGTTATTTATATAAATAATATAAATTATTATTTTTATCCAATAATAATTTATATTATTGTTATAAATAATTCAAAGTAATGAACATACTTAATACTCCTTCCTCCTATTTAAGACCCTGTTTTTCCCCACAACAGCTACCCTATGAGGTGAATTGGGCTGGCCCTAAGTGATGGCCCAGTGATGGCCCTAAGTCACCCAGGTGGTTTTGATACCTAAGGTGAGACTAGAACTCCACATTTCTAGCCTAGTGCCTTAACTACTATACCTCTTTATATATTTTGATGCTTGTCAAAATCAAGTCTTATATGGGATATTTCAAACTAATGACATTAAAGGCACAACCAGGGCTTTGATCTGAAAACCACTTAGCCTCACTAAGGTCTAAAGGAAGAATTTCAAGAAAATGTAGCTTGTCAGCTAAGGAAATAGTTTTCCATGTCAGTCTAGAGTGAATAACATAGTATTATGTGCTTCTACCTCTTAGTTACTTCTTTCTGTAGGAATAGAAAAGAAAGATGCAAATGCTAGCTAACCATATATAGCTCCTAGATAACCCATGCTCCATTGGGTCTTTGTTACAGAGATATTTCGTTACCTAATCAGAGAAACAGAATGCCATGGGCGGGCAAAAAAATCAATAGGAATGGGAATGACTACTGACTTCCTGTTGGCTTCCCCCATTGAGTTTCCTTGTGGGGAAACTGGCAGTAGGTATTGGAAATGTTCCCTTCGTTTCCCTTCCCAGCAGGCAGGTACATGGTGGCTGCTGTGTGTGGGAGGTACTGAGGGATTGCATTTATGGCTGGAATCTGTCAGGGAACATTGAAAATGAGAATTATGTGCCCTCAGTGGCACAGCAGCAGTGCTAAAGCAGCATTGAAGCAGCCTCCATTTTCTCAAATTTTATTTTGTCAATAGTAATGACAAAATTACTTTGTCAATATTGACAAAATTATTTTGTCCCAGCATTTTGTAAGTTACTACAACTTGGTTGAAAACATTTTGTCCTACGATACACAGTTTTGCCCAGTTAAAGGTTACAGACACAGCTATATAGATATCTAACACATTGTGGTTTGATGTCCATGGCGTGTGTGTGTGTGCGCGCGCACACACACACATACTTTTTACTTTTATTTATGACCTTGCTATCCCTATTCGAATAGAGTCAGGGTGACTGATGGAACTGAGTGTTTATTGGCTTCCTCTCTCCATCTCTCCCTCCCTCCCTCCCTCTCACACACACATTGGTAATTTACTTTTATTCTCATGATTTATTGTTTTCAGCACCATGTATAAGGATACAGTATGTAAGATCTCAGAATGTTTTCTAACTGGAGTGGTATATAAGGACTTCTTAAGAAATAAATGGATAAATATATATTTTTCAAGAGTCTTTCTTCAAATAAGCAGCACAGTTCAAAAGAAATTACAAAAACAGTGCTTACACACTTGACTAATTTGAAAAATTCGTAAGGGACAATTTGTAGCATCTTTTTGGGCTTATTTACAAGTTGCTACTGAAATACAATTCAGAAACTGAACTAGTTAAGGACCATATGATCCAACAGATGCATAATTTAAACAGTACAATTAATATGCAACAATGGGACTATTAGTGAAAGATAAATATTACATTTTTGCTAATATTACACTTTAAGAAAACAGGTATACAATATTTTATTGCTAGTATATACTGCTAGTACAGATTGTCAAAATATATAATTCATGTTCCAAAAACTGTTGGAAATATAATACAGGTAGTCCTTACTTTACAACAGTTCATTTAGTGACAGTTCGAAGTTACAACAGCATTGAAAAAAAGTGACTTATGACCATTTTTCACACTTATGACTGTTGCAACATCCCTATGGTCACATGATTTGCATTTGGATGCTTGACAGCTGCTTCATACTTATGACAGTTGCAGTGTCCCAGGGTCATGTGATCATCTTTGGCAAACTTCTGACAAGCAAAGTCAATGGAGAAGCCAGATTCACTTAACAACCGTGTTACTAATTTAACAACTGCAGTAATTCACTTAACAAATGTGGCAAGAAAAATCATAAAATGGAGCAAAACTTACTTAACAAATTTCTCACTTAGCAACCTAAATTCTGGGCTCAGTTGTGGTCATAAGTCAAGGACTACTTGTAATCAGATTGCAAATGTACATTCTCGTTTGGTAGTAATATTGCAAAGCTCAGCAATTCTGGAAATGGTTTATTACAGAATGAAACAAATCTTAAAAGTTGAGTCTTCTTTCCTGCCAGCAGTTTTTCTGCTAAACTTTGTATCCCTTCAAAATATACAAAGCTGATTTATGATAACAGTTCTAAGAATGCTTTAAGAAAACTTAACTGGATATTCAATACAAATCCTTCTTCATAAGAATGGGAAATCAAATTATGGGAGTATGCATTCAGTGTCAAAAATAACTTCATATTGCAAGACAAGGTAGAATTTAAAAAGAGAAGAAATCTTGTATTTGGAAAAGAAATATAAAAGGCTGATGTACAAGAACATAAATGAAAAAAAAAGTGCATTTAAAAATATAAATGTCGCTGTGACTTTCTTTAAAGAGGGCTGGAAATAATGAATGTATTTACTTTTAAAGCTCAAGGTCTTTACCAGATGAATCTAATGAAATATTTGTTTTCCCTGTCTGTCTTTCCCCATACCCAAGTCATTTAGAAAAATGGTACATTGTGCTTCTATTGCATTTCTAATGACAAAAGAACTATCAGAATACAAAATAGACCCTTCCATGAAATAGCGCTAATGACATATTAAGCATATGGCAGCATATACAGTGTAAATGTGCTGTCCCCTCAAAATAACGCAACACGCAGCCATTAATGTCTAAACATGTACAGTGTTATACAAGCTGTATACTCACTACTTTACAATGTAGCCAAGTGTCATTTCTTCAGTGTTGTCACATGAAAAGAATATACTTAAATATTTAAAAAATGTGAGGGGGTGTACTCACTTCTGTGATATACTTAAATAGATTTCCATTTTCCAACTCTTCTTTGCATTTCCTCTGCATAAAACCTCAAGTTTCCCAACTCTCTGGAACAAATCTCTGGGACATGCTGGGAAGGGACAGAGATTTGATCTGCTATGTTGTATAATCTTCTTTCTTTCCCATAGGTCCCAAATTTCATCAATGCATCTCTGCAACCTCATGAGCGCATCATGGCTCAGGAGATTGACAACTACTTCCGCCATGAGCTTATCTACAAGCGGAATGAGCGGATGGGCAAGCGAGTGAAAGATTTACTGCAAGAGTATCCAGATAAAAGCTTCTTCTTTGCATTTGGAGCTGGTAGGTATACATTTTAGAAGTCTTTTAAAAAATAACATGGATAAATTGATTCTCTGTCTTTCCTCAAGGTGAAAATTATCTCTTAGGTTCCAACCTAAATATACAGAATTTTAATTGGGTTTATTATAACATAAAATTGGCTTCAACTGGCATTTTCCTCCTAATAAAATAACCTCACCTGGTGGGCTGTACCTATCTCCCAAGTGTGAATCTGGTCTGAGAACACTTTGGAAGATGTAAGCCAAGTCACTGGATACAAATTTGACAACTTAGATATGAAAAAATCAACAGTGTTTTTGTTTATTAAAGCAGGACTCCCCAATTCCCGGTCCTCAGACTGGCACTGGTCTGCAGCCTGTTGGGAACTGGGCTGCATAAGTGAGTAAAGCTTCATCTGTGCATGCGTGGGATCTAGGTAGCATGTGAAATCACAGCCCCTCCGGTCCATGGAAAAAAAAAATTCTGCAGAACTGGTCCCTGGTGCCCAAAAGGTTGGGGGCCACTACATTAAAGCATGCATTTATGCCGCAAAATGGCTGTAGTATTTTTATAGGATTTCATTGTTTAAATTGACTAGTGTATAATGTCAGACTGTACTACCTGGAGGAGTTCCTGGAATACTCCACACAAGGGGGAGAGAGCAGCAATTGTATTTCAGTGCTTATTTTGTGAGATAATCAAATGATCTCAGATATTATCTGTTCTGGCACGCATAAATATTATACTGGCAGAGAGACAGTATGTACTCAATCATCTGCATAATGTCCTTTTCCCTCAAGGAAAAACTGATCAGGCGCACTTTATCCAGTCAGGCTTTGTATACTCCTGGGTGTTGGCATTGTGTAAATTAACATCTGTCACTTCTCCCTGAATTTCTGGGCATGTAGTGTGGAGTGTTAATGTTGGCTAATCCTTTTGATCATTGGTTTTAGTGAAAGAATTCTAAACGTCAGCCATTTTTAAAACTTGGAGCATTCCTGGCAGCAAACCTATAATTAAAGATTTGTTTTAAATATATATTTGAAGTTATGTACTGATTTAAATGTGCAGGTTTTGTAGATGAATGGCAATAATTTTCCAATAAAGATATTCTTATTAGGCCATAGAATGTTTTCAAATATCCATACTTGAGACGGATTTCATCTCCCCTCACACAGAAGTTTCTGTGTTGCCATTTCAGTGATTCCAAAGATATTTGCAAGAGGTAGTACCTCTTGAAAAGTAGCACATATAACTTTTTAAATGAAAGTATTCATTAGGAATCATAAAAGCATGACATTTACTCAATATTGTTATTAACTGTGATATATTTTAATAATGTTTTATTTATTATTTAGTATTATTTGCTTACTAAACAATATATTTATTAATATATTTTCTAACCATGTTGTGGCCATAGCTGAAAAAGTGAACTTACTTTCCTTAAGATATAATGCAATAAGGGGTTGTTTGTTTGTTTGTTTGTTTTTCCAACTATGGTAAAGATAGTACAAATATGCAGCAGTTTAATGAAATGCAAAAAGTGTTATAAATGTTTGCAGACAATTTAAATAGAATGTTTCTTAAAGCCGCCTTTGGCTTCTGGAACAGTGATGGGATAGCCACCCAGAGTTATTGAATCAGAGAAATGGGCAGCATAGAAATTTAATAAATACATTTAATAAATAGATCTAGCACAGAGTCGGTCTCCTCCGGGTCCCGTCAGCTAAACAATGTCGGCTGGAGGGCGCGCAGGGGAGGGCCTTCTCTGTGACTGCCCCGGCTCTCTGGAACCAATTACCTCCTGAGATCCAGACCGCCCCCACCCTATTGGCCTTCCGCAAAGCGGTGAAGACCTGGCTCTTCCGGCAGGCCTGGGACCATTGATCTCGTTATAATGATTTGCGAGACCCGGCCACGAATTAGAGTGCATGTGTTTTAACATTTTTAAAGTTTTTAATGTTTTAATGTTTTTCTTTTAACATTTTTTATGGGATTATTCGCATTGTTTTATTCTTTGTTATAAGCCGCCCAGAGTCCCTTGGGAGTTGGGCGGCATAGAAATGCGACAAAATAAATAAATAAATAATAAATAAAATACAGGTAGTCCTTGACTTACATTTAGTGACTGTTCAAAGTTGTAACTTCACTGAAAAAAGTGACAGGTAAACTTTTTGTAAGTTTTTCAAGATAAGATAGAGATAGAGATAGAGATAGAGATAGAGAAATAGATATATAGATATATAGATTCACATACACCAGCCACAATGTAGGGCTATACTAGATCTTCCTGTACCTATAGCTCTCTGAGTTGCTTCAGCTGATGTCTCTGCACCAGATAAGGCCACAATTGGCAAAAGCCTTCTGACTTCCATTTGCTGTGCAAGCAGTAGCTGTACGTTCAGAAAGATACCCAGATCTCAAATCTGCTATTTCTGGAATAATACTTGCCCAGAGATAACACTGATATTAATAGAACAATCTGATCAACAATGCTAACTCCTGGGTTCAACTTCAGTCTGTTTTGCCCCATCAAAACCCTTAAGATCTTCATGCACTAGGCTAGGGCATTGGCAGCATCTCTCCTACAACCCAGGCTGATGATGTAAAGTGGCTTAACTTGGATATTAACAGACAAGGAAGTGAGAGCTCATATATCTATGGCACCCCATATATCTGAGGCCAGTAGGCTGATCTCTCACCCGTTCCTCGACTAAGTGAAAATACTCGGTGAGGAAGAAGAGGAACCACTGCAAAATAGTATCCTTGGTTTGCAATCCCCATAGAGTTGGGGTCCAGTGGTCCAGTAAGATACCATAGGTGATGATACCAAAGGTCATGAAAAGGTCAAAAGGGATGGGGGGGCGCACTACCTTCATCTAAGTTCCAAACAGGCCATCTAAGAAAGCAATCAATGTTACCTTTGTCCCATTCCCAGGTTGGAGCCCTGACTGAAAAGACTCCAATTAATTTGCTTCTTTTAGGGAGCCACGATGTTGGTCTAACACCTTTATCTTATGTTGCCACCTTTGTTGGCTAAGCACAGTGAAAACGGGTCACATGCTGACACTTTCCCAACTGAAGTTTATCCATATTGTGGGATCTGGCTTGTTCAGGACTGAAGGGTGCTTCCTATTTAAACCTTGAAACTGGAAGTAAACATCAGAGAAAGGACCTACTATTACTAAACAGCAATCTGTGCTATAGGTGAAAGCACTTTGTGATGTAAAGTTCTCTTCTGTTTAGCAGGACGCAAAACATTTAAAAGAATATACAGAAAATCTGAGTCTGTTGTCAAGCTTGAAAGACTAAATCCACCTTTTTCTGTGGGGGTGGGGGAAAGAGGGCAAAAAAAAGAAGCCTTCATTAGAACAGTGGGTACCTCTCTTTATTTAAGACTAGATGAAAAGACTATAGCTTATTTACCCACTTGGCTAGAAATGATACTTACAAGGAGATCTCAGTTTCTCCCGTTCTTGAGTTTGAACACAGAACAATGACTGCCAAAGTAAATTGACCTCCCGAACGCCTGTGTTCATGTAGTAGGATAGGGATAATGGAGAGCTGAGTGCAAAAAGAGAAGGAGGGGCTTCTGCTGGCACAAGGGTCCGGGGGCCTTTCTCTTTGGAGTCACTCAAGTGTGTCAGGCCAAAAGAGGAAACAGATGAAAAGGGTTTCTGCTCCCTATCATGCTTCTGTGGACAGCCTCCCGCAGGAGTGAGACTGCTTGATCTTACGCTTCTGGGGTGACCGTGTTCATTCATAGCTGCTTTAAAAGAAATGTTGAAAGTGGTAGGCGAATCTCTTAAAAGTAAAGCACTTCTCTTAATTGCCAGAAAGTCTAGGATGTGCCTGTGTTTGGACAACAGCATCCAAGTACATTTCTGCCAAGAATTTCTGGTAGAAGGGAAGCAAATTGCAATGCAAAGATAAGATCCTTGCTGCCAATTCAATTGTGCAGGTAGCTTTCAGGACAGGGAAGAGACAGATTATCACAGGTGAGTGCAATGCACTCAATAGTACGGTTTGCTGAACACTGGGTATGTTTTTGAAATAATGGAACGTTCATTCTACACACTTTTGGACATGCCTAAGCTAATAAGTGAAACCTTCATTTGTGTGTGTGCATTTCTATGTGTGTGTATGTATCTGCTAGTTTCCCATTCTACACATGTTTTGACAATTGTTCTTCTCTTTAGTTTTGATTTCTGATTGTTCAATAGTGGTAGAAAAAATAGAGAATGATCGGGAATATTGATAATAATTTTCAATATTAATAGAACACTGCACAGTAAAGTGTGATGCTCAGAACTGTTGCTAGAAATGTTCACAATAGGGTCTAATTAACACTAAATAATGTGCAATAAATTATGCACCCTAAAATTACATTAAAATTACATTTTGCAGCGTATTACATTGTCGTTCTTAGCTACAATTCTAACAACTTTTTCATATGAATTTTTTAAACCGATAAAGATGGTTTTGAGTTGTATTTGTCACTTACAGTATTAGTTATCCCACTTTGTGTCTGCTGCAAATTTGTAAATTCTTTCATCCGCTTGTCATCCAAGTCATTAATATAAATGTTAAAAAGCATAGAGTCTACGGCTAAACATGGTGCTACTTCACTTGCTATCTCGCTGAGGATAAAGAATTTTTGATATGAAGTCCTTAATCTGATTTTTCAATCCAGCAATATATCCACATAATTGCCAAGCCATGCAGTCCATGGAAAACTAGTTTGATATTTCAGCATGACTTGCTGAAATGACAAAACATATGTATATCTGTAGCAGCTGCATAAGATGCTACCGGAAGCTATCTAATAAAAAAACGAGTGGTTAGTCTAATATGACATGTTCCTAGTAAATCCATGGGGATTTGTGATAATCACCTCATTGTTCTCCAGCTCCTCAAGGAATCAGTTACTCTGTGATCTCCTGTACAATTTTTCTAAGTATCAATGTCAAATTGACCAAATTCATGGATTTTCCTTTTCTTCTTTTTTTGAAAGCAGGATTTTAGGATTTATAAAAGAAATACATATCAGGTTCAGCTAGACAGTCATGAACTTGCTTCATAAAAGATGAGTCAAGTGACTCAGGAAGTGTACATTGGTCCAAAGTAAAAAGATATTCTCTGAGAGTGTGTTTTTAAAATCTTTCTCAAACTTCAGTTATGCTCTTTTAAGGTGCTCTTTCCAATTACTTTCTTTGAACTGAAATCTTGTTGGAGAATACAAAGCCAAATACAGGTAGTTCTCGCCTACAACAGTTCATTTAGGGACCATTTGAAGTTACAACGGCAGTGAAAAAAGTAACATGACATTTTTTAAACCTTTTTTTTTTTTTTTTGCAGAAATAGATGAATTTGTGCTGTTTCAACACTTCCAAATGCTTTTTTTGCTAGTTCTTATATGGTGCAACCTTTTTTTAATCTGGCACTCCAAAATCAAGATAACTCAGATTGCAGTCCTAGAAAACAACATTCTCCCTTTGATATTTTGAAAGCCGGTCGTTCATCTGCAGTATTCTTTCCCTTTCCCAGTCCTCTTCCACAGGGATACACATCTGATCTTCTATTAATTTTAGTTTTATTTCAAATTCTTACAAATGCATGATGATGTGGTTGTAGTTGCTCCCTGCATATGAATTACTAGCAAAGAGGAATGGCCTTCATACATCTTAGAAATTCTGTCACATGCCTGATCCATGACATGGTAGACAGCTTATTTCATATGCTAATGGCTACAGTCAGAATATGCTTGTTTCTGTTTCCAATAGTGCTTAGTATCGAACTATTTTCTCTGTGTGTTCTTGCAGGGTGCAATTACATTATCTCTGCCTTTCAAGGTTATGCTATTATTGTGTTTGTTACACTAGATCTTTTTCTTCCTTTGAAGGTTCAAAGCCAGTTGCTTCTGTAAGAGCTTCAAAGCTGTTTTGGAATTGAAGACTATCTTCTGTGTCTCTTGCTTCTCTTGGTTATCATTCTTATCTGCTGTACTTGTTCCTTTGTTTACATTTCTTCCTTACGGACAGTAACTTCTTTTGTTGGTTGCTGTTGTATCATCTCCTTTGTTCCCCAAAAAAACTTTGTTCTTTCTTATGAATGGTAATACGGTCACGGCCGCTCCATTTCTTACCTTGAAAATTAGATTTCTTTTTAAAAATCACATCAGCATAATAACACCTGAATATTAATTAGGCAAATAGTATTTTAGGAAGCTAATAGGTATCATCTTTCACGCTGTTACAATAAAAACATGCTTGTTGAGTCATGATGAATTTCTAAAGATTCATGTGTTTAATATTTATAATGAGTTAGAATGCTATTTCTGAGGCAGTAAAGAAACTTTCTTCCCAAATCAGTGGTTTGTCCATGTTTCATTATACAGTTGAGTGAAATACTCTTTTAATAATAAAGGACTAGAAGTGTAGGATTCTTGAGACACCATCATACAATGGTATAATTATATAACATGTTTTGCATGTTGTAATCCTGCATTTTTGCTCTTTATGCATCTTTTGAATTCTGGGATGGGGTGAAGGAAAATTTAAATAAAATTTATATAAATAAAAATATCAGTCCAGGCTTGTTCAGATTAACCCCTTGGGAGACCGATACACTATTTAATTCTTCTCAGGCCCTTTCTTATATGAGGAGATTCGTAACTAACAATATTATTATTATTATTATTATTATTATTATTATTATTATTAGTCATATTTCTATGCCACCCACTCTCCGAGGACTCTGGGCGGTTTACACCAAAGACAGTATACTATATAGCATATTGCCCCCAACAATCTGGGCCCTCATTTTACCCACCTCGGAAGGATGGAAGGCTGAGTCAACCTTGAGCCGGTGAGATTTGATCCGCTGAACTAGCAATCAGCTGAAGTAGCTGCAGTACTGCACTCTAACCACTGCGCCACCTTGGCTTAGTGATGAATCTCAAGTTAGTGATAAATCTAGATATGAGCTTCATTAAGTATAGGAGCCCTGGTGGAACAGTGGTTAAAGTGCAGTATTGCAGGCTAACTCTGTCCACAGCCTGGAATTCGATCCTGATGGGGCTCAAGATTGATTCAGCCTTCCATCCTTCTGAGGTCAGTTTGTTGGGAGTAATATGCTGACTCTGTAAACAGCTCAGATAGTGCTGTAAATCACTATGGGGTGATATATAAGTCTAAGCGCTATTACGTTTGCTAAAATCCTGTTTCCTATCTATTTCCATTTTTTTTACTTTCTTAATTAATATGTTTAATGGTTCCTCATAGAAACTTACTGGAACAGTCTAGTATGGGTCTTCCCAGATTACCCCATCATGCAGGATAAGGCCCTGCTGTGATCTCTCCCAATTCATGGGAGAAGTTTCTGCTTCCTGAATTAGTACATTGGCTCTACTGGATTGTTTGCTTATTGATGCAGATAGGCATGAGGGTTCTCAGGAGCTTGAAAATCTTCCATTCTGCATTAATGCTTTAATAACATTGTTTTTAAAATTATTTTTATTATTATGTTTTTAAGAGAAGTTTGTTTATATTTGTGGTTTATAAGTATCTTACTTTAAGGGTTCTCTTTCTACTAAGGATACTGATAAAATTTAGCAAGTCCAGAGACAGCCAGCAAAAACGGAGCAAGGTCTAAGGGACAAAACACATCAGGAGAGATTGGAGGAGCCAAATATATATAGCCTGGAGGACAGAAGGGAAAGGGAAGACATGATTGAAACCTTTAAATATATTAAGGGTGTGAATAAGGTTCTAGAAGGTAGTATTTTCAATATGAAGAAAAAAGTCAAGAACACGTGGGCATCAACTCAAACTGACATGAAGTAAATTCAAAAGTAATGTTAGAAAGTATTACTTCACAGAAAGCATGGTGGAAGCCTGGGAACAACTTCCAGTGGAGGTAGGGAATCAATCCTCAGTACCTGAGTTTAAACATGCTTGGGATAAACCTATGTCCATCATCTGACAAAAATTTAAAAAATAAAAATAATTTAAAAAAAGAATAAATAAGAAAACAAAAAACTCCAAAAACTCAAAATGCAGACTCAATAGACTTTTTCTGCTGTCAGTTTTCTATATTCCTATGTTTAATTATAACTAAACTTAAATCCAGCATGATTAGATCAATTCCTATAGCTATAGCAGCTTTTCCTAACCTCAGTCCCCAGCTAGGGGATAGCTGGTTTCTAATAGAGACTTCCTAGGATCGAGTAAAGCAGGTGTTCATAGTAAACTTTGCATTGTTGTCTAATCTGTACTTTAAAATATTGTTTATGTGTTTTGATCAATGTTACTTGGGGCTTTTCTCTTTTATTATCTAAAGGTCATTTCATGGGCAACAATACAGTGATAGATGTTTTGAGGAGAGAAGGATATGAAGTAGACCATACATCCGCTGGGCAAGCAATCAGGTAACAATTGCTTTAACAATAATGATATTAAGCATTAAAACATAATAGAAAATGCATTTTGGAATTGAAACTGCTGCCATTTTATTCAAGGTAAAAAGGTATGAACCTGGATACTTGCAGAATGAAAAGCCTGCCAGTTTCTCATGCCCTCCTCTGCTTCTCACTCATGCCTCAAGTTCTCTGATGGAAAAAACACAGGCTGACCATTGTGTCAATAGTCCTACCACGTAGAAACTCAATATTTGTAAGATGAGTGAAAATATAATCATGCCTCCATAGCCATCGTGCAGTACTGTATAGTTTCATGGAATAGTGTTTCTAATTTAGTGATGCAGGTTATAATTTTCTTCCAGATGACACAAGTATTACTCTTCTCTAAGGGATATCTTATCTTCTATCTATCCATGGTAAATGGTACTGGATGTCACTTTTGTGAGTTGCTATCTGCTCCAACAACTTATATCCCTATCTAAACTTCACTTCCTCACTTGACGAATGAAGTGCCAAGTTATGACTTCCATATATGAATAAATTTCCACAAATATAGCAGACTTGTCAGGCCCTATCATATCTTTTGGCATTCACGCAGATAGCAACACCAGAAAGTTTCATATCAACCGAAATATGATCTTTTCAGAGGATGAAAGCTGACTTACACATTCCAGAACAATTCCTCCAATGTAGAGTGCCAGTCATTTTGGTAGTTCTTTAAAAGAAGCAGGAACTGGGAAATAGCGGATATGAAAATCCATTCAATTCTGTCCCAATGCAAAGTGAAAGCTTAATTATTATTTTATATCTTGTTTTAATACAATTAAAAAATACCTTAATAAATAGACTTTTGTATGACAAGTAATTATCAAAATGGCTTTGGGGGGGAGGTTTTGAAGAAATACAAATAATGTCAATGGACACAGGGCATTCTAATTGCAACAGCAGAATAGAACTACAGAATCATTCTGTATTACAGGGGTGTCAAACTCACATCATCACAGCATTGTCACAAGACGTATCATGACTTTCCCCTTCACTAAACTGGACTTGGGCATGACTAGCGCATGACGCATCCAGCTCCCGGACCACAAGTTTGACAGCCCTGCTCTATTATTACACCTGGCCATGACAACAATAGTTCAAAATAAACACAAGAATCCTTTAATGTTGACTTAAATTTACATTTTTGTTTTACTGATTATAAGACACTCAGTGTGCTGGGGATTCCCTAAACTATCCAAAATGTGATGAGTTCAAGAAATGTTAGACTGCAATATGACCTTTTCTCTCCCACACCAATGGGAATTTTATTCCATATACATGGAAGGATGGAGGGAAAGCAGGAGGAGGAAGACTCTGCTAGGTTATAATAATGAACTACCAAGTAAAAGTATGTTGTGATCAGCATATAATTAAGGTGGTTAAATATTTGCCCATGTTTCGCCAGAATGGAAGGAAATATTTCATTTTCTTTTACTGCTTTTCCCTTCAGTAATTAATCATATGGAAGTGGCGTTTATCCTTTTGTTTAAACATTCTTTATAGATGAGTCATGGAACGTTGACTCATCAGAGAGAATGGGAAGTATCTCTGTACAAACCCTTAGTGAAGTCTAAATACTGCTTTCTCTCTCTAATTGCTTTTGGGAAAAGTAACATTCAGATTCATCCTGTTCTCATCTGGGCTCTCCCAAGAAACTTTTGCACTTCATCTCCTATTTGCCTGGCTTTAAACAGTTTACCTGAAGTTTATTTTACATTCTCATTCCTGAGTTAAAGTTCACTGAGTGCATTTCATTGAGCATTAAAGACATCAAGGATGTTTGTTTTATTTTCCGCCTTACTTGCGAATTCAACTCACTGGAGAAAGGGAATCACGTAATATCCACTGCTTTGCAAATGCTACATTTTCCCACACATTGCCATTAGCATGCAATGGATAGTGTGTGTGCATACAGTATGGTATTTTGTGCATTTGGAGAGACTGAAGATAATCTCTCCAACCACATGATACAGATTATTATCCTCTCAATTGTCTTTAATATCAAAGAGAAGATTTTCCTTTACTCCTCCTTTGGGAGCATCATGGCGCTCCCATGTAACACCTCTCCTGCATGAGCTGCACTGGCTCCCAGTGGTCCTCCGGGTGCGATTCAAGTTATTGGTGACCACCTTTAGAGCGCTCCATGGCTTAGGGCAGAGATATTTACGGGACTGCCTTCTGCCACCGAGAGCCTCCCACCGGCCAGTAGGCTCCCACAGAGAGGGACTCCTCCGGGTGCCATCAGCCAAATAATGCTGACTGGCGGCCCCCAGGGGGAGAGCTTTCTCTGTGGGAGCGCCTGCCCTCTGGAACGAGCTCCCCCCGGAGATACGGATGATTCCAGACTTACATACTTTCCGTCGGGCCCTCAAAACCTTTTTATTTCATCAAGTCGGGCTGGCCAAATCTCTCCAATTGTGTATTTTAATTTGGATTTTTAATGGGGGATTTTAATTGTCGGGCCAAATTGTTTAATTCATTTTTAAATTGTTTTTATATTTTGTATTTGATGTTTTTTACTTCTGGCTGTTCACCGCCCTGAGTCCTTCGGGAGAAGGGTAGTATATAAATTTAAAAATTAAATTAAATTAAATTAAATTAAATTAAATTAAATTAAATTAAATTAAATTAAATTAAATTAAATTAAATTAAATTAAATTAAATTAAATTAAATTAAATTAAATTAAATTAAATTAAATTAAATTAAATTAAATTAATACATTATGTGGGCAATACAGTATCAGAAGTGGCTTTGTGTTGGAGTGCTATTTCTGTTACATTTGCGGCAATTTGCAATGTCCCGTGGTCACATGACCATGGATTACGATGGCTTTGCCAAAAATTGGCACATACTTCTAGTTTTCGGCATACCATAGCAAACAACTAGTTTGCTTAACAACCACATTTACACTTACAACCCATTGCTTAATGACTGCTGCAAGAAATGTAAAATCAGGTCAGTCATGTACCCATCCCATTTTATTACAACTTGTGACCATAATAATTGTTATGATGCATAATGACCTGTACTACTAAAACTCTTGTGTCTATAATCTTTTAACTGGGTGAAACGATGCATCCGATGACAAATCTTTTTCAACCAAGTTACCCCAAATAGGATAACTTACAGAATGCCATGATGATTACTACTGAGGTAAAGTGATCTGGGGAGGTGTGGCTGCTTCAGTATTGCCAAGCTGTCAACTTCTCACTGTGGCAGTCATGTCATCCTCATTTTTAAAGCTCCTTGACAGCTTCCTGGCCATTTGCACAATCCCTTGTTCCCTCCCCTATCCAGCAGCAGCCACCATGTACCTTCCCTTTGGGAAGAGGAAGGAAGGAAGGAAGGAAGGAAGGAAGGAAGGAAGGAAGGAAGGGAGGAAGGAAGGAAGGAAGGAAGGAAGGAAGTCAAAAATTGCTCCTGCTCCCTCTGAATTTTTGCCAGCCCACGGCCATTCTGTTTTCTGTTTAGATAAGGAAACATCTCTGAAATGATAACCCAATGGGACACAGATTTTTTACTATCTTATTATAGCCTGCTTTAAAAAGAAGGTGAATGGGCACTTTTGCCGCGTTGAACATTTTTGGCACTTTCAAGGGACTGAGATGTTTGCAGCATACAGACTTGAAATGTTTGTAGCAATTTACTTGTTTTGTACATTAACTTGGAAGACGATCAACCCCTATTCTCAGCCTTATTTTATTTTGCTTTTTGTAGTGGAAAAAATCAACATAAGTTCTTGTCCGCCCTCTCCTCAACATCCCCAGAATATGCCTCTTACATTATCTCCCAAGAGATCCAACAACAGGAGGAAGAAGAGGAGGATGACCTGTTGCCCCACACATTATTGCCTGAAAGCATGGACCTGCTGGAGAAAGCAGAGAGGAAATACAACAAGAAGAAGAAACAGCAGAAGAAACAGCGTTTACGTCAGTTCAATGACCTTTGGGTACGCATCGAGGAAAGGTAATGAGTGAGTAGAAGCAGGCAATGCGTTTCCGAGAAATAGCAAAAAGGGAGCCCCTTAAGAGGAACATAATTTGTTTGTTTATTGACTTTTCTGCCTACCACAAAAGAAAGATTCTCTGCAGTTTACAGTACAAGCATAAAAAACAACACAATAAAATACCCATAGTATAATTAAAGCAGCTAAAAATAAAAGCAGATGAACTCCAAATTTACACAATAACCAATAAAACAGTTAATTCAAACTTTTAAGGCTTTCTGAAATAGTTCAGTTCAGTTTTTAGTAATTCAAAGAAAGCCAGCAATGTGGCAGTTCCATAACGCTGTTCCTTAATGCAGGCTCAGCACTTTCAAACCTCCAACCCCCATACTTTGCAAGGGGAGGGAGAATCACCAGTGGTTTCTCTTGGACGTGCACGTTGGATTGTTCAAAACTGGTTGCAGAAGATGATCCTATAGGTCAGGGGTGAAATCTAATTTTTTGTGGACGTGGCTTAGTGGGCAGGGCTTGGTGGTAAGGTGACTGGGTGGGCATGGTCAAGTCAATGTCACTTCTTTGCCTTTTTTTAACCTACAAAACACAACACAACAGAACTGGCTCACCCACAATGTAAAAGCAGCTGTGCTAGACCCAAAATGGCCCCGCAACAAGCAGGAACCTCACACAGCCACAAAAAGCCCAAAAAAACAACTTTCAACTTTACACACACACAACACAACACAACACAACACAACACAACACAACACAACTGGCTCACCCACAATGTAAAAGCAGCTGTGCTAGACCCAAAATGGCCCCGCAACAAGCAGGAACCTCACACAGCCACAAAAAGCCCAAAAAAACAACTTTCACGCTTTACACACACACAACACAACACATCTGGCTCACCCACAATGTAAAAGCAGTTGTGCTAGACCCAAAATGGCCCCTGCAACAAGCAGGAACCTTACACAGCCACAAAACACCCAAAAAACCAACTTTTACACTTTACGCACACAAAATTCCACATACAGCTTTGTGAGATTTTATGTGTTTGTGTAGTTATAGTGAAACACTACAGAAACACACTAAATCTCAGAAAGCTGCACAAATATTATTTTATTTTATTTTACTTTTATTTTTATATAAAAGCAGCTAAATTTAAAACTTCCTAAACTTTAAATGGCTAGGTCTAAAAAAAGAACAACTAAAAAAAAACCCAATTAACTATTTTTTTTAAGCTTCCAAAGGAGAAAAAAACTTACCCAATAGAACAGGGGTCTCCAACCTTGGCAACTTTAAGACTTGTGGACTTCAACTCCCAGAATTCCTCAGCCAGCTTTGCCTGGAGTTGAAGTCCACGAGTCTTAAAGTTGCAGATAGAGCTGCTCACTGATGAGCTTGATTGCAGGCAGGGAGATTCAGTTGCTTGCTGATGCAATGGATTGCAGGTATTACAGCGTTGCGACCAGCAGCTAAGGTAAGCAAGCTGGAGGCGAGGGGTGGGGGGAGAAAAAAAGAAACTTTTTTTCTTTTACATGGCTCTGGCGATCCAAGCTGAGTTGCCTGATTAACAGGCAACTCAGCTGGGATCGTCAGAGCTTGGCTGGTCAGAGCCATTTAAAAGGAAAAAAAGGCTCTGATGATCGCGTGGCTCAGCTGGGCATGGGGGGCAGGGGCAGGGTTTTTTGCTATCGGTTCTCCGAACTGCCCGCCGCCATCGCTACCTACTCACCCGAGCTGGTCCGAACCAGGAGCATTTCACCCCTGCTATAGGTGTCTCGGTGCCAAGCTATATAGATTTACAGATTAAAACCAGTTCTTGAAATTGCATTTGGAAGCCTATTGGAAGCTAGTGAAGATCCAGGGCACTGATGTCATATTCTTTTTCATGGCATGTATCAGCCAATACAGGCTGCTCCTTCTGGACCTATTCTAGCTTCTTATTGGTATTCAAAAGCAGCCTAATGTAGAACATATTGCAGCAGTCCAGACAAGTCATGTTGAGGCCATGACTCATTGTTCCAAGGTTGTCTCACTTCAGGTTGGGCTGCTATTGATGCCCCAGCATCCAGCAATAACTATGAATCTAGGAGGAATTGCATTCTTAGAGGTAGTACCATCCCTCTGAGAGACAATATTGGAATTCACAGAGTATTCATGAAAGACAGTAACATACAAAAAAGACTTTAGCGCAAGGAACTTGTAAGCTTAGGCAAAAGGTTTCAACGTTTAGCATCACCTATTAGTTCATATATATCTGGGAAGTTCACAACCAAGAGAGCTGTTGTTGTCCAACAAATCATATTTTAAGAGGCACTCCCTTTGATTCAAGGGGATCTTTACATAATAAATAGCCACAAACATCAAGAGCCACTCATAGCCATATCAGTGATTTTGTTTAGGCCTTTTTAAAACCATCTAAATAAATCAGCTTCACTATAATTAATACAGTAAATTCTATCATTTAATTAAGTATTGCAAAGAAATAATAGTGTAGATGTGATTCTTTTAGCTTTTGGAGTTCAGCAACAGAGGCTGAACTCTTAACATTGCAAGAGAAGGAGGGGGGAAAGGCTTGGTTCATATTTTCCACACCATCCAAAACCTGGTCATATTTTAACTTGATGCTTCCAATTTTTTTCCTTCATTACTCAAATCTGCATATCAGAAAGTCCTTATTCAAATATCCATGTTGTGATTGGATAAAAGGTTTATGTGTCACTAGCCAAAGAACAAAACACTGTTATCAGGGGTGGGTTCTACTTACCTTTACTACCGGCTCTCATTGCGCCCGTGCGCTCTTCTGCACATGCGCAAAAGCTTCTATGTATGCGCAGATCACCTATGATGACATTGGGGTCAGTGGGCGGAGTAGAACCCGCTGGTTTTACTACCAGTTCTTGCGAACCAGTCCGAACCGGGGGCAACCCACCACTGACTTTTATCCTATTTTGTGTAATTTATCCAAGTTTGGGAAGCACTGTCTTATCTTGTCTAAAAGCCAAAATAGTTCTGTTTTAAGTTCTCAACCTTAAGAAAAAAAGATCAAAGCTATGGTTACAAAGAACAGGCCTTGCTACAAAAAAATTCAAGAAAACGTTATCATTTCAAAAGTGAAAACATTCTGAGGTTCCAATTGTCATTTACTAAAATAAATTAAACATTAACAAATGTTAAAAATAATAATTGTAATTGCTATTGCCATTACATTCTGGTATTTTCTTGTTTCATTGTTAATAACTCGACTAAAAGATGGATGAATATACAGTAGCTATATAATCTGAAAGTATAGGTAGAAAACTGTGACAGCATATACCGTAAATTAATCATTCCACATTATTTGGTTTGGAGCAGGACCTTTTATAATACTGAGCACTGGAAAAAAAAGTTTTTCTGTTGATTTCTGGAAATTAAGCAGGATGTTTAGTCTTGGTTCCTTTTTGGAGAGATCTGCCATCAGTATTGTTTGTTTATGTATTAAATTTATATGGTGCCCATCTCATTACTAAAGCTATTTATTCTTCGCATAAACTGCCAACTGGCTATTTTCCATATGTCTGTGAACATTTTTTTTAAAAAAACTTCAGGGATGTGTCGGTTTAAAAGATACATTAACTACCTTCAAATTTCCCATGTTTTGTTTCTTTTCGTTTAATGCAGGGGTCCCCAACCCTATGGCTGTGGCCCATGCTGGAGCATGTGCGCAGCTCAACTTGTGTGAGGGGCGGGCCAGTAGACATTTGCACACATACTTTTGGCCTGCTGCTTGCGCAAGTTGAGCTGTACATGCGTGTACAGGCCCACCTTCGTGCAGCCCAGTTCCCTTCTTCCCCCAGCTGGGTCAAGCCACAAAGGTTGGTGACCACTGGTTTAATGCACTGCCACACAGAAGTAGAGTAGAATATTGCAGTTGGCATAGACTGACTGGTTTAATTTGAAATTAATATATTTTTATTTAATTGATCAATATTTACTTTCAATTTTTGCCTGGAATTTTACTTTACTTTACGCTTAACAGAGCACTAATAAACCACGTGGTTCGACAGGGATGCAAAATGATGTCAGGTTTTCACTTCTCACTCACACATGTCGAATACCAATGATCCATTTCTTGCATCTTTTGCATGGTTCATCTTTTGGAAATTTAGTTCCAGTTTCTGGGGCCTCTTCTAGAGGTTATCATCTCCCCATATATGGCATATTAATTGGGTAAAGGAAAGTGAGGGGAAAGAAGAGAATCTGTTTTTAAGGAAGCTGGGATGGAATGCTTTCAAGTTTATAATTGTGCTTATAGCCAAGGTTAATATATTTCTGCCCAAGAAAAAAATCTATCCTCAAGCCAAAGAGGTCAGAATGGTGGATCAATTACAGAACGGCCCAAGGTTTAATGGTTCCGTGGGAAAAGTCAGAAGCTTTAATACTGTTGATGTTTCTGATCCTGAAAGTTAATTTAAATTAATGCAACAATATGGGAAATATCTGACTATTATTCACCTTAGGAAGATTGTACAAAATCTCAAAAGATTATAATTTGAATTGCTTTGGGAAAAAATTGATATTATGGAGAAAAACAAAGCAAGCCGATGGATTTGCATACTTCAGCAAAATATCTGTTAATGTTTACCGAGGATAGAAAAGTAGATAGAGAGAGAGATTTTAAGATGTGCAAACACTGGTAATAAGGATACGAAGTTGCAAGGAGCAAAGAAGCAAAAATGTCTGCGAGTTAGGCTCTTGATTTGTTACATAAAGTCAGAGTTGGGAATGTCAACAGAAACGTACAAATTCCCACTTGAATGCAATGGGAAAGGATTCCTTAATACCAAGAAAACCCTATCTGAAGTCACTGGCAGCTATAATGTAACAAACGTTAGGAAACTGGATCACTTTTACTATGTATTATGCAAGGAATGCATGTGGAAGATTCAATGGATGGCTTCCATACTTGGTCAAAGATCTACATTTTTTGTGAACTGTGCAGAGTAATGCTTCTTATTATGCAACTGTAGCTTTTGACAGGGCCTGTCCATCTCTTCCCCCCCCCCCCTTTTGATCAACTGCATTTAATTGGGTTTTTTATTTCTTTTTTGTCTTACAGCACCACCGAGCCACCTCTGCGGATTCATATCATTAATGGTTACATTTCTGTGGAACCTCAGCCACGAGGACACAAGCAATCCCGCCATATCCAGGCAGAAACGAGCTCTTCTAGCAGACCCTTTCTATTCTTCTTCACTTTGACTTTTGTGTGGTTTATAATAATCTGTTGAAGCTAGAATGACTCTCCCATATTCAGCTATGTGCCTTTAAAAAAAAGGGAGGGGGGTTGGGGGTAGAGAAAAAGGAAAGCATTTTTTTTTCCTGAACAGGAAATCATCTGTGTGGATTTTATTCTTTTAGAAATCATCCTTTTCCTGAATCTGGACCATTAACTGGATTAACTGTTTTGACCATACCCAATGCAGGAAAAGATATTTTTTTAATGAAAGCCATTATTTATTCTTCCCTTGCAGAAGAATTATTTCATGTTGTCCCAGAATTATTGGGAACTATATATGTAACATAGCTGTTATTTAGCTGTATGGATTTGACTTGAATACAATTTATTTGGGGGTTGGTTTGTTTCTAGTTTTATGGTAAAGAAAATGTTCAGCACTTTAAAGCAATAGGAAGAGATTAAAAAGAATGCCAGATTTAACTTGTTCCCTTCCTTCCACCTGTTCCTGAGAGGCCTTGTTCTCTGGCTGTAACAGCAATTTCTTCCACTGACATTTTATCCATCTGTTCCTTTTTTAAAAATTCTCTAAGTTCAAAAACTAGTTCCTTTTTTTAAAACAATGACTATTACTGTAAGCTACTATTTGTACCCTATTTGACTCCTATTTGAAATAAAGAATGCTCCCTAATCCCAGTCTCTTCAGAAAGATTATTAAGCCTTGCCTAAAGATGGTGGAGCTTCTATATATGACAGAACATCTGTTTCTAAGCTGGCAGAGTAATATTCTTTCTTTTCTCGAAGAGCAGGTGGTGGTCATGGCCAGGAGGGCCTTTGCACAACTGCGGACTGTGTGCCAGTTACGCCCTTTCCTGGACTGACAATCCCAGTCACTGTCACTCATGCCCTAGTCACTTCCTGTCTTGACTATTGCAACATAGTCTACATGGAGCTGCCCCTAAAGAGATCCAGAAGCTCCAGTTGGTGCAAAATGCAGTGGCCCGCATGGTTTTGTGCAGACCTCAGTGTGCACATGTATTACTGCGGGAGCTTCATTGGTTGCCGATTTGCGGGTGCAATTCAAGGTGCTGGTTGTCACCTTTAAAGTCCTACATGGCTTGGGACCAGGTTATCTGAAGAACCATCTCTTGCCAGTCACATCTACCTGACCTACCAGAGCGGAGAGGCAAGGAATGTTGTGGGTCCCATCCCCTAGGGAGATACACCTAGTGGGACCCAGAAGAAGGGCCTTCTCTGTAGTGGCTCCCTCTCTCTGGAACATCATTCCCCCAGAGATTAGAAAGCCCCCTACTCTCTTCCGGAGGGCACTTAAAGACCTGGCTCTGCCAGCAGGCCTGGGGAACGCAGAGTGGGATGGAGCCCATTAAATGGTTCGTGTGATGTGGTGGGGGGTTATATTATTTTATTATTTTTTATTAGTTTTATTGTTTTATATATGAGGTTTTTATATTCCTGTAAGCCTCCTTGAGTGCGAATAGGCAGCAATATAAATTTCCTAAAATAAATAAGTAAAATAAATATTAGTAAATATTTTAGACAATGAAATTTGATCAATTTTTCATGCAAAAAGAAATAATGGATATAAATTCAACACTCAGAACCTAACTCAGATCTATCAATAGGTAAGAACTGTTTATATCCCTTTACAATGCTTAGTTCCTAATCTCTTCTGATTGCAATAGATTTTGACCGGAATAGAAAAACTGAATGAATGGTTCAACTAATTGATGACCTAGCAACTTTAGTTCAGATCATGAGGGTGGATTGGCATATGATTATTGGAGATTCATCATTAGTGTTCAGTATGAATTTGACTCAACATATCAAAAAGTGTCATACTACACAAAACACGTGTAGATGAATAAACTATGCCTTTTGTCACACTTTGGCCTTTTCTTTCTGCTCTGTCTGCACCATTTAGGTTAGAATGCTAAAGCAGAGTATAGTTGTCCCCAAATTAGCGTTAAATTGTAATTGAGACTGTTAATTAGTCTTATAACTAATAATTTTCTACAGGGTATAATTGAAATGATCATAATGGGCATGAAAATGAACTCATGCATGGAATGTCATGGGTTCTTTTGGTCTACTATTTATAATATCACAAAATCAAGAACTATTGTTTTCAATATGTTTAGAGACAAAACCAAAGCAAAATCAGTAATCTAATTCTAACTTAATTGTGCAAAAATGTTTGAAAAGAATAAGCAAGACTGAAGAAGTGAAAATGATACAAAGGCAATGTATCCAGATGCTGAATTCCAAACCCTGTTAGCCTAGCCAAGGAGCTGGAACCTAAATTTGACAAATAATACAAGATTAGGGCTTGTGGGCACAGTTTGTAAAGACTTCTTTGCTATAGAGCACGGGTTTCAAACTCGTGTCGTCATATGACGTATTGTGATTTTTCCCCTTCGCTAAACCCAGCATGGGCGTAGCCAGTGCATGACACTTCCTCCCGCAGGCTGCGAGTTTGACACCTGTGCTTAACTCATTTTTACACAAAGGGGAAAAAACAGTCCAACCTATAAAAAACAGCACCACAAAAACAGATTAGGAACACAAGTTAAAATAGGGAAGAAAATGGTAAGTGAACACCTGTCAATTATGTATTACTGTATATAAAAATTGCCAAAGAATTCCATGTAGGCAAATACAACGATGAGGGGCTTAGTAAAAGGAGAACTAAAAGTCAAGCAGAAAACTTCCAAAATCCAGGAGAGACTATAGAAAGCAAACCATAGTAAGTACCTATAGGAGCTCCATTACAATATGTTCTTAGGATAAAGCAGCAAGTTCAAGAACTCAGCAACGTGGTTAAAAAATAATGACAAGAAAAAAATGAAGAATGTTGGGTTTGAAAAGAAAATGAACATCCTGTTCAAGAGAGATACTTCTGAAAAAGAAATGTAAGCATACAATACATGTATATTATACCTATATTATACCTTTAGGAAAGCAATGTTACTGAAAAAAAGAAACAGAATAAAAAATAATAAGCCAAAGATATTAAGGCATGAGATAAAGAATTCAATCAAATCTGTTTCCCATCACTAAGCCTCTCCACTTTTCTAGCTTTACAAACTATCCTTGTTTCAATCATGTCCTCACACTGACTCGTTTTTTAAAATCCTGCTTTTATTAAAAAATAATTCAAATATTTTCCCCCCCCCCTCCTATTTTCCCCATAACAACTCTGTGAGGTGGGTTGGGCCAGTGGTGGGATTCATGTAATTTAACAACTCGTTCTCTGCCCTAATGATTTCTTCCAACAACCAGTTTGCCAAACTGCTCAGAAAGTTAACAACCGGTTCTCCTGAAGTGCGAACTGGCTGAATCCCACCACTGGGTTGGGCTGGGAGAGACTGCTGAGCCCAAGGTTACAAAGCTGGCTTTCATGCATCAGGTGGCACTTGAACTCAGAGCCTCTAGCTTGGACATTGCTTTCTGTTCTTTAAATTTTCGTCTCTTTTTGAGGATTTCATCAACCACAACTTTCTTTTTCCCTTCCCTTTCACTCATTCTTCATCACATTTGTTTTGTGATTCAACTTAATTTTTTTATAGGGCACACCACCTTGGCATATATCTTGCACACTAGTCATTACATTTTGCATTCAGTGAAGATTTATTGTGGGCCTTTTCTTGTTTTACACATTTCTTAAATAACAAATTCTGCACTCAGTTTTTCTTTCTGCACATTCATAAATCACCTAATAGCATTCTATTTAGCTTTGATGCTTATATACTGAGTTCTAATTTCATGTAAGGCAAAATGCATGCTGTTACTCTTAAAGTCACTTTCTTTTATTATTATCTATTATTAAATTTATTATGGCCACCCACCCTAGAAAACTCTGGCTGTTGTCAAACATTTATTATTCGGAGGGTTTTTTTTTTATCACTTCAGTATACTGAAATATATTTTTAAAATTACAATAAAAGAAAAATATTAAATCTGACCACATGGGAGTAATATTGATTTTTTTTCTAATAAAGCAAACTAAGATTCAAGTCACAAGCAGCAAACAGATTTCATCAGTTTATTATCTGAGGTAGCTCTGTCTGTCCATTTCACTCCTCTGGATTCGTTACAAGCTATCCTCACCAAAAATTCCTTTCTTCAATATTCTTCCACACCTTTCCATCTTCCTGACCATTTGAAGAGTCACATTTACTAGACGGGAAGCTGCGCTCAACCACAAGTATAGCATTGCACTGGCACTAGATGTCGCTCAAGTGACGTTAAGACTGAACAAAAAAAGTTTCTTCTCTAGACTGGAAAATCCTATGCAAGACACAATAAATTAGGCACTTAACCTTAGGCATGTTAGGCAAAACATGAATAGAATATGTGATGCTTCGCAGGGCTAGTGGAAAAACTGATTAGAGGGCTGTATATCCATCTACTTCACTGCCTTTACACTAGATGGGGACAATCATACTGTGTGGTATTTGGAGATTTATTCCATCAATGCAACGCAATCTCATTTTAATATGGGCTGATTAGTGTACATTTAAAGTGACAAAGTTGTCCTGTCCTGTCCTGTCCTGTCCTGTCCTATCCTATCCTATCCTATCCTATCCTATCCTATCCTATCCTATCCTATCCTATCCTATTCCCTATTCTTGAGCAGCAGTTCATCCAGCAAAAATGCTTAAAGATCTGGCGATGCTTCGGATCGCAGGGCTGCCAAGGATTAAGCATTAATCTCTTCCATATGGCATCGTTTGGACAGCCGTGACTTGGCTTGGGGGAGGCGGCTGCGTTTAGCAGGGGAAGAAAACGAGGGCGGGGCTCATTAAAACCCAGAGCGACCGCAGGTGACACGCGGAAGCCCTGGCGTGGTAACCATAGTGACACTAGCTTCCCGCCCCTTCGTCGCGTCCCGCCCGGGGAATGCTGGGATACGGTCCTGGGGACTGTTGCTTGGCAACGGGGCGACTCTCTGGAGGGTCTGAAGTTTCTGTAGTTTCTGGACGGGAAAGGTAAATTCCCCAACGGTAAACCCCGCGGTGTCCCCTCTTCTTTTCTAAAAATGGGGAAAGTGAGGGAATTCCGCTGCTCCGACTATTGCAGCCCCGAAAGGATGCTCTCTTCCGACTTTTTTAGCAGCATCCCTTTTGGAAAAGGCATTTGAATCAGGTTTCCAAAAACTGCCTCGTCCAGAGAGAGCAAGGGGCAATCGAGGGTGCCAACTTCTTTCCTTTGCCGTCGCGACATTTAAAATAGGAGAGAGAAAGAAATGTGGGCTCAACTTCTAAACAGAATAAATCATAGCTAATTATTACTCTTTGCCTTTCTCTGTGCCTGCCTGCCTGCCTGCCTGCCTGCCTGCCTGCCTGCCTGCCTATCTATCTATCTATCTATCTATCTATCTATCTATCTATCTATCTATCTATCTATCTATCTATCATCTACCTCTTTCTATATCTAACTATATCTTTCTATGTCTGTCTATCTATCTATCTGTCTGTCTATCTATGTCTATTGATATCTTTCTTTGTCTGTCTGTCTGTCTGTCTATCTATCTATCTATCTATCTATCTATCTCTTTCTATATCTATCTAAATATATCTTTCTATGTCTGTCTATCTATCTATATCTGTCTCTATCTATCTATCTATCTATCTCTTTCTATGTCTATCTATCTATGTCTATATCTTTTTT